TCTTTCCATGTCATCGACCATAACAACTGACAGGGATTCTTCTGCAAGGCAAATTGAGGCCAAAACATCTCACCTCATCCTCTGCCTCCAAGGCCATAAAATCATGTCTGAGTGGTGACACCTGCACAACTCACTCATTTGTGGGTTTAGGCAGCTCTAAATGGAGCAGTAATGTTACTAGGTTGTTTTCCAGGCTCAGCTGAGTTGGGATTGCAGTGCCTGTGAGGACCCACGGTGCTCAAACAATCAGAACAACCCTTGCCACTTCGGATTTTGCGGTGGTTTCTGTCACTTTGTGGTGAGGAAATGTAGCACACTGAGAGGGTCACTGCTGACACCTCCATGAATGATGTCATTCTGGGAAATCCTCTCTGCTTCTGCCTCTTTTGATTTTGGTCAGGAGTTTCCAGGTTCCCTGGTGACAGTGTTTAAAGCCTGTTTCACTGTGTAAAGCCAGCCGTTATTTTTCAATCCAGTTTCAGATTTACGCCATTCAATGCAATTTTTTTTTTCCCTGTGATCCTCACAATACTCAAGGATTTCCAATCAGTTTGATTCTTTCTCTTAAAAAAAAAATAAAATAAGTTAATTCAATTTTTTCTCATTGGGGGAAATTTTTTTTTTTCAATTTGCAGTTTCCCTGTAAAAAAGGTCTCATTCCTGAAGAAGACTTCTCAGTCTGACTCTTTGGGGAGGTCACCCATTCAACTGCTTTTGGCTGTCTCCTGTCATACAGAAGGTAAGGAAATAGCAGCCTGATTTCAAATTTGGCAGCAAGTTGGATTCTCCTTTCACTCCTCAACATTTAATTCAAGTTGCTTAGCACTGTAAAGTGTAACATATGACCTCCTTGCATGCCCTAGTTATATTGCTCATTAGTCTGTGCGGTTTAACAAGATTTTCAGTGACCCCATGGCTAATGGCCCACTATTCTTAGGAAGATCTTTACCTTCCAGCACAACTGCTTGTCAGTGATGTTAGCTGGATTGCAAAGAGAAATCACTGAGTTCAAAGCCACTCCAAAAGAGGAAGGGGGGAGCAATATCCCAACTTGTCCTTCTGCTACCCTGTAATGTAAAAACAAAGGGTGCTGCTACTACTTGGTTTTTTTCCTTCTTCTGCTAGTGAGGATTTGGGTTCTGCTGTGCTAAGGCAGCTCTCAGAAACGAGCAGCCCAAGGAGCTGTGACAGGCAAAGGAAGCACTTTCAGTCCTGTTTTCCAGACATTAAAGCAGAACATACAGACTTGCCTGCAACCAGGCAGGAAACCAAGGGCAGAGCAGCACCTTGAACCCCAGGCCTCTGATTGCCAGATCTGCATTTTCATCACCCTCCTGAGCATCCCTGTTTGTCTTTGAGCTCGTGCAGGGTGATACAACACTGCACCAGACTCTCCCAGAGCTCCTTCTGCAGAGCAGCTCTCTCTCGGAACACTTTGCAGTCAGCTCTGTGCAGCGTGTCATCCAGGCATGGAATTCACTGCCATAAGAGGATGGTGAGTCAAAGGCTGTAACCGAGTTTCTTGAAGGGTTGAAAAACAGCCTGGTTAGCTGAGGCGATGGGACTGCCTTTCTCTTTTTATTTTTTTTTTTTTTTTGGGGGGGGGTAGGTTTAGGGCTGCTGAGTCCAAAACTGGGTGCTGATGTGGACCTACTGAACTGCCAGACAGAAAATTAGTGATTGCGGTGTGGTTTGGTTTTTTTTCTTCCATTAGAAGAAGTCTTTATCTTTCTCTTTAGTGTTTTGATTGTTTTGCCCAGGAGTGGCAGAAAGAGGCTTTTCCCTTGCTCAGAACTTCACCAAAAGTTTCTCACAGAACTTTCAGCATATGTGACACTCATTGGGAAAAAAAAAATCCCAAAACTACAGCAACAACAAAACCAAAACAAAAAAACCCCTCAACCAACCAACCAACCAAAAACACCATGGAAAAACACAAACAAAAAACCCAAACCAACAAAAAAATCAACAAAAACCTGTCAGGGGCTAGACAGGAAATCTGTTTGTTTCTTTGCACTTACGTTTTCACAGGGCTGGTGAATGCAGCATGCTGAGATTGCAGCACTGTTATGTCTAGTGGATTTCAGAATGGTTTTTACTCTAGAGAAAAAAAAAAAAAAAACACAAAAACCCAACAAAACACAACCACAAAACCAAAACATCGTCAAAAAAAAAAACCTCTGATCCCAAATAAACGAAAGATCGGGACAAGTAAGGGGAAGGGAAGAAGAGACAGAAACCATCTGTGAGGTCAGGTGATTAGGTATTTTTGAACTGCCAAGGTGGTGATCTTAAGTGAAGATAATGTATTATGCAGTGGAAAGCTAATGAGACCAGGTCTGTTAAACATGGACTTGGTGTTACTCAGCTCTGGAGTGCTTCAAATTACACAGGCCCAGGTTGTGTTTGCTCACCGCTCCCGCCCTGACAAAGTGAGCAGCAGGCTTTTATATAATGTAAGCGATCGTACACCGCGGGGAACGATCCTGCAGTGGCAGCGGAGGGAAGCTGATGACATAATGGGTCTCCTCCATCTCCAAGTTATGTGATTCATCAATTAAATGAATTCGGTGGGATAAAGCCGCATGAAAGGGCAGTTTCCCCAACACGCTGCCTGACGATTAACTCTTCCCTCCCAATTCCAGCCGCTCCGCTCGGGATTTACCCTCCACCGGTGCGTCCAGGAGGCTCGGGATGCGCTGCCCCGAGGCGGGTCGGGGTCCAGGACTGAGGTCCGGGACCAGGACAACTCTGGGCACTGCGGGCGCAGCCCCGCTCCGTGCGGGATGCTGAACCCCGCAGCCCTGCTCTGTGCGGGATGCTCAGCTCCCAAGCCCCGCTCCGTGCGGGATGCTCAGCTCCCAAGCCCCGCTCCGTGCGGGATGCTCAGCCCCTCTGATCCCGCAGCCCCGCTCCGTGCGGGATGCTCAGCCCCGCACCGCCGCAGGTGCTGCGGGGGATCTGCAGGACAAGAGCGCGGTCCCGCCGCCCCTCTGATCTCGCCGGGCGGCGGCTGCTCCGCGCACCTGTGCGGGGCTGCTCCTGCATCCCCTCCGCCTCTCCCGGGATCCCGCCGGCTCCCCGCAGCCCATCCCGCAGCGGGCCGGGGCCGGGGCCGCCCGCATTGCGTCGGGGGCGCGGCTCGCAGCGTGCGGGGGCGGCCGGCCCGGGGGCAGCGCGCATCCCTCCGTCTTTACCTCCCTCCCTCCTTCCCTCCTCCCGCCGGTCCCGGCCCCCTCCCCCCCGGCTCCCCCCGCCCTCCCGCTCCCCGAGCTGCACCAAACAGCTCTCAGGTTTCTGCTGATACTGCAGCGTCAAGAAATGGCTCGAGTTTGCTCCTCGCTCTTCTTATGCATTCAGCAGCCCTCTCGCTCCTGCCACACGCGCCCAGCTCCTGCCTCCTCCTGCTGCCTCCGCTGCTGGGACGAGCCAACACCGACTCCGGGGATGCGGCTGCAGGGCTGCGGCGCTCTGACATCTCCCCAGCCGCCGCTGCCCAGCGCCCGGCTCCTTCTCCAGCTGTCCTAAGGGGAGAGAGCGGCAGAGCCCGCGGCTACCCGGGACTCCTTGATTTTATTTGCTAACTCCAGCCTTTTGGAAAAGGTACTTTGCGCTCTTTTCCACGCAGTTACCCTCCCACCCCCCACTGCGGTTCTCAGCAGAAACTAATTAAACCCACTCGCCCTTGGTGCAGCCTAAGACAGTGTATGAATATTTCAGTGTCTCGCAGGCAGCCCTGTAAAGCGATCGCTGTGTTATAAAGAGGGGCGCAAGAGGAGGAGGAGGAGGAGGAGGAGGAGGGTTAAGTTTGCCGCTGCGGTTTTTGTTTTGGTTTGGTGTTTTTTTTTTTTTTTTTTTTGGATGCTGCTGCAAGGCGACTTGACGCATTCCAGCACTGGCTCCTACTCCTGACCAGCGCATCTCCCTCGGAGCAGGTAAGGAAAAGCCCTTCTCGCACCCCGCCTCGCGCTGTTAGACTCTGTTTTGGACGGTTTGGGTCTGGGATGTCGACCTCCCTCCCCTCGCCTCTCTCGGAGTTGTGTTTAGCTCCTGCAAAGCGAGACAGGAGATGCTTTGCTCTCCCTGCCCTGACCCCCCTAACTGGTGCGATGAAGTTGTCAGAGCTCAGCTGAGTGTCCGCACAGCCTGTGAAGAGGGGGAGCGCGGTACTCAGGAGGCTCCTTGCAGGACCTGACCCCGCGGAAGTTGCTCGGGAAGCTCTCCCGAAGAGCTCGGGGCGCATTCCCTCCTCGGAGGCCCGGGTGCCCGTTCGGGGATGTGTAGGAACGCGCAGGGCTCCGCATGTGCTGCCGTAGTGGGCAGAGCGGGACGTTCTTGCTCGTGTGAAAGCCAATCCATTGCGCCTGAGCGTGTGTGTGTGTGTGTGTGTGGTGGGGCTCGGGGGCTGGTTTGTTCTGTTTCTCTCCTCCCTGGCAGCCTCCATCCTTCAAGTGAGCTTTATGGCTTCAAAAAGCAGAGTATTTCCATGCCCCCCTCCCTTCCCAGCAGGAGGAGAGGACCAGGGCAGTGGTGAGGGGCGGGGGAGGAGAAAGGAAAGGGAGGCGAGGGTGCAGGTGATGGAAATTTGCTGAGTTGGCATTGCAAGGACTCGCCTCCAAGCCGGCCCGTGATTTATTTATTTATTTATTTAAATATTTATTTATTTTATGTGTATGTACGTGTGTGTGTGTGTGTGTGTAGTGTGTGTGTGTGAGGAAGCTTCGTGCCAGCAGCTGCGGCGATGGTCGAGCCGGCGAGAAAAGCGGACGGATCGAGTTAAAGGCTGAAGGAGACGGCTGGGGAGGGAACCCCGGCCCGGGGTGTGCCCCATAGACCTTCAGCCTCCCGGCCTGGGGGACGAGACAGGACCCCTCACCTCACCTGCCCTCTTCCCCCCCCTAAAGGTACTTCTTCCCTCTTTCTTCACCTTCCCATCATCCCTGATGCCCCTCCCTTCATCCCACCCCTCCTGCCCCCTTTTGGGTATTTCCATGCTTTAGGCTCCTCACCCATCCCTTCCTCAGGCTCCCCATCCCACCTCATCATCCCTCCCTGCAGCCTCCGAGCCCCCCCACCCCTGAACTGCCCTGGGTCTCTCTGCTCTCCTCCATCTTCCTCCTCCTCCTCCTCCCTTCCCCTCACTCCCCCCCTGCCCCGTGGCCCCCGTACCCACGTGCCACCATGACCGTGATGGCTGGAGAGAACATGGACGAGACCTCGGCGCTGCCTGGCCACCCCCAGGACAGCTACCAGCCCGCCGCCCACGACGACCACGAGTGCTGCGAGCGCGTGGTGATAAACATCGCCGGACTGCGCTTCGAGACGCAGCTCAAGACCCTGGCCCAGTTCCCCAACACGCTGCTGGGCAACCCAAAGAAGCGCATGCGGTACTTTGACCCCCTGCGCAACGAGTACTTCTTCGACCGCAACCGGCCCAGCTTCGACGCCATCCTCTACTATTACCAGTCCGGGGGGCGGCTGCGCCGGCCCGTCAACGTCCCCCTGGACATGTTCTCTGAGGAGATCAAATTTTATGAGCTGGGCGAGGAGGCCATGGAGAAGTTCCGGGAGGACGAAGGGTTCATCAAGGATGAGGAGAGGCCCTTGCCGGAGGGGGAGTACCAGCGCCAGGTGTGGCTCCTCTTCGAGTACCCAGAGAGCTCTGGGCCGGCAAGGGTTATTGCCATAGTCTCTGTCATGGTGATCCTCATCTCCATCGTCATCTTCTGCCTGGAGACGCTACCTGAGCTTAAGGAGGACAAGGAGTACACGGTGCACCGCACCGACAACACCACCCAGGTCTACAAATCCAACATCTTCACAGATCCCTTCTTTGTTGTGGAGACCCTGTGCATCATCTGGTTCTCCTTCGAGCTGGTGGTGCGCTTCTTCGCTTGCCCCAGCAAGACTGATTTCTTCAAGAACATAATGAACTTCATCGACATCGTGGCCATCATCCCTTACTTCATCACCCTGGGCACCGAGATGGCTGAGCGGGAGGGGACTCAGAAAGGAGAGCAGGCCACCTCCTTGGCCATCCTCAGAGTCATCAGACTGGTAAGAGTCTTTCGCATCTTCAAACTCTCCCGGCACTCTAAGGGCCTCCAGATTTTGGGACAGACCCTCAAAGCGAGTATGAGAGAGCTAGGTTTACTAATCTTCTTCCTCTTCATTGGGGTGATTTTGTTCTCTAGTGCGGTATATTTTGCTGAGGCTGAAGAACCTGAGTCTCATTTCACAAGTATCCCTGATGCTTTCTGGTGGGCGGTGGTATCCATGACCACTGTGGGCTATGGTGACATGTACCCTGTGACAATTGGAGGCAAAATCGTAGGCTCCTTGTGTGCCATCGCTGGTGTGCTGACAATTGCCCTGCCTGTACCTGTCATCGTGTCCAACTTCAACTACTTCTACCACCGAGAAACAGAAGGGGAAGAGCAGGCTCAGTTACTTCACGTTAGCTCCCCTAATTTAGCATCTGACAGTGATCTCAGTCGCCGCAGCTCCTCCACAATCAGCAAATCTGAGTACATGGAAATCGAAGAGGATATGAATAATAGCATAGACAATTTTAGAGAGGCTAATCTCAGAACTGGCAACTGCACTGTAGCCAACCAAAACTGTGTTAATAAGAGCAAGCTGCTGACTGATGTGTAAACAAAAAACAAAAACAAACGAAACAAAAACCAAAATCCCCACTCACAGCTTGAAGACTTTATAGTGACACAGTCACACTTTGTAGATGCTTTACTGATAGTCTTTGAATGCTTTATTTACCTCGTAAATGCGTTGTTGCATTGCGAATCTTTGCTCTTGCGATAAAGAAGCTTTCCAGGATCCATGAAAGATAAAATTTTTGTTTGTTTTCAAAAAAGCATTTTTTTCCACCTGGCAATTGATAACCATTTGAGCTAGTTTAGTTTTAAGCCGTATGACGTTAGACCTAAACTTTTCCTCTCCCATTGCCCCCTCCCTTTTTTTTTTTTTTTTTTTTTTGGATAAAAGTTAACTTAAAACTAAGCAAGACAGTTTTTAGAGCTATAAAGCATATGCATGGATTCCAGTAAAAATATTCTGCGAAACACTTGCACAGCAGTTGCAAGAAAGTGCATCAGATAATAATAGTAAAAAAAAAAAAAAAAAAGATTACCCAAAACCCATGGCAAACATTTGCCGTGGCTTTTATGAAGGAGCGCGAATTTTTTCCTTCCACCCCCTCTGTGAAGGATTTCATACCTCCAACCTACAGATCCACACAGCACCTTATCAAAAACGTACCTAAGCCTGGTCTCTTTTGCTGTCCGTAGGAGAACTATTCTAAAAGGAAAAATAACGAGAGAAACTGAAGACAAAACATCTGCAGTGCTGCTAAGTTCTCTTACATGCAGATGGTAGAAACACACTTTTCTTTCCCACCCCACCCTGTTTGGAACTGGACACAAAACTTTAAGCCCCTCTGTTGCAAGATAGCACAATGGAGTTTAATGTAAGCATGTTTGAATTTGATACTATTTATTTTATAATCGCATGCTTGAAACGTTACCTCAGACAATAGCGGATAAGCTTTCGTTTGAACTGAATCTTCTAAAAATAGGTCCTTTATCTCTCTTTTTTTTTAAATTTTCTTTTTTTTTTCTTTCTTTCTTTTTGATTTGCATTCACCAGAAGTGCACTCCTTAATTTATTAAATCGTTGACTAGTAATTTAAAGTACTGTATTTAAGTGCGTATGTTAGTCAAATGGGAACAATAACTTTTGGAGATCAAAGCATGTTCAAATATTCAGCATTATGGCCTATTTGATTAAAGTGTAACTTGAACTAATTAATGCATGAATTCAATGATAATAATAATAATAATAACAACAATAATGATAAGAATAAAAATAATTTAAAAAAAATGTGCTCGATAGACTGAGGGCCTGAATGAACTGATTAGAGAAACCTGATTGTTTTCCTGCATTGCTCAGGGAAATGTGTTGGCTTTTGTCCAGGTGTTGTCGGAAAGGAACATATCCCATCCCTTAAAGGGAAAGCTATATGGAAAATTAAGAGGTCCAGTTATGTATAGCAACACCTAAAACCTAGTATCCTTCCTAACTGAAAGGTGCAGGTGCATGCTTTTTGGTGCATTCTCAGAATGTAAATGAAACTTACCTACTACATGCATCCAAATTGCAGCAGCTGGTTTCTTTTGCAGCCATCAGTCGAGACTTTTTTTGTATTCCCCTAAAACTCACTGAAGAGACTCAACAGATTGATTTAGGTAGTTGCAGTGCCTTTATCTTACATCCCCTAAATTGCTGAAAGTGCCTCCAGGAACTGAGCTGATCAGAGATGCTGAAGGAAAGGGCGAGGCGTCAGCACGCTGTCAGGGGTGTTCTGTGCTGCCTCCTGGCATGGCACAGGAGGGGGTAGAGAGAGAAGGACCAAGTGTGAGTGAGAGGG